GCGGGGAAACTTGGAAGTTTGCCTTAATCTCCTCCACGGACGAATTGAAAAAAGCCCTTGATCCGTCTCGTCATGTGCAAGTTTTGACCGGATCATCTTCGGCTATGCTGCCGTGCTGAGGAAAAACGCCGTATGAGCATTCGAACGTTGCCAAATTCCCTCTCAGAAAATATCCATTCTTTATGAAAGTTATGAATATTCACCCTTGAAATTTTCACACTGAAAAAAAAAAAAATCTCGGTGTATTTACCAAGAAAAGGGTAAAATTACCAAGAATTCAGGGTTCTATTTGGACTGCATTTTGCAATTTGGAACTATAAATTCTGGCTCGGTTTAAAAACAACGTATGTGCCGTTAGTTTCCCTATGTACATAAGTGTTTTTTCAGATGAGCCAGAATTTATAGCTCCAAATTGCAAAATGCAGTCCATTTGATCCCAGTTTTTCCTTGGTAAAATTACCATTTATGGAATTGGTAATTTTACCGAGAAATCTCGGTAAAATTATTGAATTTCTCGGTAATTTTACTGGACCCCGGTAAAAACGCCAATATTTTTGATCGACTGTGGTAGAATTACCGAGATAAAATGGCAAAGTTACCGGGAATTGATTACCAATAAAAGTGGTATTCTTACCTGAAAAAAACAGTAAAAATACCGGGTTTCAGGTAAGCTTACCAGTTTGTCTTGGTGAAATTACCAATAATTGGTAAAAAAAGTGACTTTGGTAAAAACGCGGAGAATTTTTTTTCAGTGCAGACTTTTTAGATCAAATTCCGAAGCAAATCCTTTGAAAAATCGGAGGTGGAATATTCACAAGTTTTCCTGAAAACTCGTTGTTTTTCGTAGGAAATTTGGCAACGCCCGATGGCTCATACGGCGTTTTTCCTTAGCATGGCAGTACGGATTTTACGTTCCGCCACGGAAATATCTTATCGGCGATCGTGTCTCGCACATTATCGAATTTAAAAGTTTCCCGCGGAAGACAAAAATTGAGCCATAATAAAGTATGCAAATTCCCCGGGCGTCCCGTGCTCGGAGGAAATAAGATATTCATATTGGTCTCCTGCGGAGCGGCATATTGCATACGTGCTGCATATGAAAAATTGCATCTCCGCGCCGGGTTGAGGTCATCCTGCATCCTGCATTATGTCCGGGAAATGCATTATCGCAAATGATTCGGACGAAGAGAAATTGGACTTTTTTTTGCGGTAACTTTTTCTCAGGCTCATCCAGAAATGTGACTATCTGCCGGTGGCGAGGCGTGAATGATCGATTATCGATGTTTCTCAATTTGAAGCTTTGGTAAAGAATCGATTACTAAGGTGTTCGTTGCGCACAGCCTGTTTATCGATCCTTTTCCATGGGTTTAAAAGACAGATCAATCGATTTACTGCAAAGCACGCCAAGCCACTGATGAATTCTACCAATTTCATCTGTTTTCGAATATGACAGTGTTGGGATCTGCGTATATATAAGAAAAAGAAAAATTTTCCAAAACCTGAAATCATGATTTCGCGAGGTTTTGGTCCTCTTGAAGTGAGAAGATTAAAATCAGATTTTCCTTCATTTTAATTTTTTAGAATTCAGTGGCTAATCCATATGAAATCACGCATTGTTTTATTATTTTTGGTAGAGCCATGCAATTAGTGAAGCGGCAAATAATTACTTGACGGCATAATGAAAAATGTTTCTGCCTAAACCGAGTCACGTTTTTCTCAAATGACATTAAGAAATTATGGTAAAATTTATTAAATACGGATGCTAGGACTTAGTGAGTTTTTGGACTGCCGCTCTCATTTTGTGCCGTAGTAACTTGATTTATTTTGCGAGGAAAGTTCCGTACTCTTAAAGGATGCCCTTCATTCTTGATATGTTGGAGCGCCTTCAATTTCGTATGATACTGTGCAACACCTCTGTCGTGAAATAGTTGCTTGAGGCGCCGAGGCACGCTGCGAAGCGGCGCGGCGGCCAGCCGACCAGCGCGCAACGCGCCTATAAACCTAAGGGGATACTTCACGCATTGCGCAATGCGTGAAGTATCCCTGTTAGGTTTGTAGGCGTCAGTGCGCATTTTACGCTGGCGGTACGCCGCTCTGCTGTGTTAGGCTCTTATGTTTAAACTCGTGGAGTCAGCGTTTAATTGCAAAGCTTTAATTGCAAAGCGAATCACGCCACTGAGTTGCTCAGGTGACATTATGAGCTTGAACGATCGACTAATGATTTTCCCCATTTGAAGCTATGGTGAAGGATCGATTATTAAGGTGTTCGTTGCGAACACTCTGTCTATCGATCCTTCTTCATTGGTTTAAATTGCAGATCAATCGATTTACCGCAAAGCGCGCCACACCACCGTGAGTCGTACAGGTGAGATTATGGAAAGGAATGATCTACTTTCGATATTTCCCCATTTGAAGGTATGTTAAAATATCGATCATTAACGTGTTTGACATCCATTTTATCGATTCTTTTCTACAGATTAAAATGGCAGATCAATTGATATATCGCAAAGCATAACAATTTGTTATTTAAACATTCGTCGTCTCCCTCTCGAAAGAACGGAACTACATTTATTTGCCAAACTCCTAGCAAATTTAATTTTTCAAAGAGAATCTGTGGCATGTTTAACTGAAAATTTTTCTGATTTTCCTTCTGATCTCGTGCAAAAATTAGGAAAATTATGGACAAAAACACACAGATACATTCGTGTAAACAATTGAATGTTTCCAGCCTTGGAATGGTGTCAGTGTTACGCGCCTTCGTCCGAAGAACGACGCATTAACGGACAAATAAGCTCGAAATTTTCAAACCAAACGAGAGTTATGGTGGCTTGAAGTTTGAAGTTATCAAAAAGCTCAGTTTCGGAACTTCAAGCTGACACGTTCAGAACGCGAGTTTCAAGGTTTCAGCGGAATTTTACACCCTCTGTTGACTTAATAATGACCTGAGCCCGTAGCAACTCGTTTCTTTGAATTAAAAGAAAGCATTTTCCGTCAATATTTGTATATTTTCATCTGAACTTGACAAAAAATGCTTCTGAAAATTTTGACTTTGTATAACACTATATGACTAATAAAAGTAAGAGTACTTTTGCTTGTAACGACTCCATTTGAGCTCCTCTCAAAAGAGTACGAAGAAAGAGTTTGGTTAAGCCACTTCTAAAATTTTATGCAAATATGAAAAACAAAAAAACCAAAAAAAAAAATATTACGAAACTAAGATGGAGAGAATAATTTTATCGCCAGAAATATTCAGAGTGTTGCTATTTGCACTACGATTTATTTGATTCACGAAAAAGTCATTTTAAAAAGAACTGGCAGCGTGATTGTTTGCGAGATATGTTCGAGCTGGGGTTTCGCGGTGCCTGAATCCAGTATGCGACGTGCAAATACTAATAGGTTTTTGCATGTGGCTATTGTTTATATTCTCGTTATTGTATGAAAAAACATTTTATGTATACCTTTCCAAACAATTTCACTCATATCTGCTCTTTTTTTAAAGTACTCGTTGTATAGCTCGTGATTAAACAGTATGACTTTAATTTATTTTCCACCTTCAGCTTTTTCCATGACACGGTAAAAACCGTAAATAGGGGTTTCTGTTTCCTCATGTAAATATTGTATGGAGTATTATTCACACATCAAATTCTCAAACTCGACTCAAAACATTAAAATCGAAATCCTTGGTACTCGTGTATTCGGTCCCTCAATTCCTCCGAAAATAAATGTGTGGCAATAAGGACAGACGAAGAGCACTTATCTCCATTGCGATGTTTCAAAATCTCCATGAATGGTTTATTTTTCCAAAGAAGAACCAACTAATTCCATGGTTCAGATTCTCCTAAAGTATTCTGCACAGTTTAAAGAGAAATCATAGGAAAATTCAAAGATGTAAGATGTGATGATATCAGTTTTCCGTAAGGAAATTGAATTTGAAAAAGAATGTGCAACGTTGCTATTTTTTGTTTGTAATTTTTTTTTGTAAATTTTCAACCGTACGCTGTGTAAAGTCCGCACAGCTGACTGACCAAAAAGGGAATTAGCCCAGATAGATAATTATTCACATAAAATTCCAGGAGAAATTGTTCACGCTCGGAATCACCCAAGGAGCCTTCAGATTCGCGCGTAGGCAACCATACATTGCTTCAGAGTTAAAATAGTTGTATCATCCGAAATTGGTATAGATGCTCTTTCATCGATCTGCACTGTGTTCCTCCACTTTTCATTTTCCTCTCGCCTCATCCTCCTCTATTTCTCCTTCTTATTTTCTTCTTCTTTTTCCGGTTTCGTTCGCATACACAATGTTAGGAGTCCCACGATGCGATGAAGATCAATTTGGCTGGGGTTAATACCCATCATGGCCCGTCTCTAACTTGCGCAACGTTAAACTATTAACGAAAAATGGCAATTAATTATTGATTCATAATTGACTGCTTACTTAAATACCTCTAGATTTTGCCCGTGTGTGAGGAAATAACTATGCCAGCCGTAGTGCAAGGATTTTTTTATTTCCGTTATGTTTTCGCGGAGGTATCTCAAAATAACGCAAAAGGTGAACGGGTTCGTGTAAGATATAGTAGCGGCTCCCACTCGCCGGTTGGAGATCTATATAGGCTTAACGGGGTCGACACCGCTCCTAGTAATTTGCGGTTTTTTGACACCCCCCCCCCCCCCCCCCCCCCCCCGAACCCTCTGCAATACCGACGTCGCAGACTTTCTATCACACTTCATTTTTAAATGGAGAAGTGCTCAACCGCTATATTTAACAACTGGCGTGATTTTCCTTTTCTGCACGAATAATATTCTGCAAAAATTTTAAAGAACAACGTCGATTTGTTCTTATTTTAAAAGAATAAAATAGGGGATATTTTCAAACACCGCAAACGAGATTCGTGGTTGCGGACTTACACCGGCGATATCCTTGTTTTCTTTTTTCAATTTTTCTGCCTGCAGTTTAAACGTTCTCTAAAACGTTTTTTTTTTGTTTGTTTGTTTGTTGGCAGTTAATCACGGAGATCAACGGTCAAGTGGCTCTGTTCCGGGATTTGCTCATTCACATCGGCACTGCCCGCGACTGCCCGGAAATGCGTGAAAAAGTCAGGAAGCTGCGCAGGACCTGCGTCGACGCCTGTCGTCATACCAGCCAGCTCCTTCTCCCTCAGATACGCAGGTCAGTTCATTCAATAGTTCATTTGATAGACTCAAATTCGCCGTCTCCCGGACGAAGGAACGGAACTTCATTCCAAGGTTGCCAAATTGACTGAAAAAATTAACTTATTTTACAAAAACGTACGTATGAAGTTTTGATCAAAAATGTATCTGATTTTTGCCTGGAATCCGAGGAAAAATCAGTGAAATTCTCAGTTAGAAATGCACAGGATTCTCAAGTTAAATATTCAATTTGAGAAGAGGAATTTGGCAACATTGAAATGGAGTTACGTTCTTTCGTGAGGAAAACGACATCTGAACTAAACAGAAACGTACTAAATCTGCCGTGATAGCGGAAGAGAGCGGTGGCGGGGCGTGCTTTGCAATATATCGATTCGCAGGGAATTTTAAGTAGTCAGGAAAAACCTGGAAACGTCAGGGAAAATGGTGAGATCATCGGGGAAAAATTGTTAATTCACCCTTATTTCGACGGTGTAAGACGGCAATCGCATAACTCGGTTTGCGACGTCGCAGACTTCCTGTCATACTTTATTTTTTGAACGGAAAACTACTCAACGGCACTTCTTTAAAACTGCCGTGATTTTTCTTCTCTGTGCGAAGGAAATTCCGCAAACATTTCAAGGAATGATGTAAATTTGTTCTCTTTTAAAAAAATAATATGAGGGCGGAGATTTTCAGACACCGCAAACGAGTTGTGTGATTGCCGACGTACACCGTCGATTTGCTTTTTAGAATTGGTTTGAGCTTATAAACAACAAATTTGCCTGCAAATTATTTCAAATTATGTCTTTATAACCTTGGCATCTTCAATAATTGTCAGGGAATTTTACTCAAATGTGTTAGAGAAATGTCAGGGAATTTCATTTTCGAATTCCGTTGCTGTATTGGACCCTCTGGCAACCTTGCCTTTGAAGGGAGATATGGTAAAAATATACATAATCTAAAATAGGGTGTGAAAGTGACTCAACTTAAGACAAATCCCACGATATGAGTTTCTGATTAAATAAGAGTCGCGGAGAGTCTGAGTCTAATCTAGAAATTGGCTCCGCAATTCGTGTTAATAAAAATTGCTGCCCTGAAAAATTTCCTCCCCAGGAGCCGAGGTCGTTTTTTTCACAGACGGTTTTCGTACGTGCCAAAACAAAACTTCTCCTCCCTGTTTTCTTGGCGGCAACAAGACAGCAGCGTGGCGTGCTTTGCGATCTATCGATGGATCTGCCATTTGCACCTATGAGAAAGGATCGATAGACAGGGTGTTCGCAATAAACACCTTAACAATCGATCTTTTACCGTAGCTTCAAATGGGGAAATATCGATAGATCGATCATCACGCCTCGCGACTGCAACGAGGGTGTGAAACTTTCCGCGTCCGTCGCACGGTGGAACGAGTCAATAGGAGAGGTCGGACAAAATTTGGAAACTTTAAACGCTTATAACTTCGTTTAAACAAAATTTTGAGGTTCTTAAAGTGGTTCCATTCGTTTTCTCGTGAAATTTGCTTCCAGCAGCATCCCTTATAATTTAAAATGTGACTTAATCGAAATCAAAATTTGCAGTTTTGGTCAACAATTTTATGCCCGACCTCTCTAATAGAGATGTTGCAATGTTGCATGAGTGAGGAATTTGCGATTTGACCATTGATTCTTTTGTAAAAGTTTGCGAGAAACACGATGGTGCCACTGGTTTTCTCTGAAATCAACTTCCAAGCTCGAAAAAAGCTCTCAAGTTGAGGCCAAAATGGAGGGGATATCCCACGCTATCCTGAGAGTCCACGTCCACATCAAGACAAACCCTCCATGCAAAGATAGGGAGCAAACACATTGGCAGTGATGCCGTGTTTTCAGTTTTAGAGTCTTCAAATAAAGTGGCAGCCCTGTCAATGTATTTGCTCCTTATCTTTGCATGGAGAGTTTGTCTTGATGGAGAGGTGAACTCTCAGGATAGCGTGGGATATCCCCTCCATTTTGGCCTCAACTTGAGAGCTTTTTTTGAGCTTGGGAGTTGATTTCAGAGAAAACCAGTGGCACCATCGTGTTTCTCGCGAACTTTTACATAAGAATCAATAGTCAAATCGCAAATTCCTCACACATGCAACATCTCCATTGACTCGATCCCCTGTGCGTCGTCTCGACAATGGCGACGACACGTCGGGAGATAACGGAGCAGCATTAAAAGTTGGGTTCCCCAAGTCGAAAGTTCAAAAGAGCGGAGCATGCAAAGTGGCATTCGGCGCTCCTTCGACGTAGGGACGTATCTCAGTTTTCACGTGAGCCCTATTCCCCGTTTAACTCTATGCTTTTCAGGGCTCATTTGGAAATAGAACTACGCCCCAGGTCGGAGGCGACGATTCATCCTCGCTGAATTTATGGCTCGTCAAACGGGATGCAACTACAAAACAAATTTCGCCGATCGATATTTTTATAGTCCTCGCCGAACTTCGAAGCGTTTGCACTTGCATTACATGTAAAGTAGGGATCCCGCTCGACCAGTGATATAATTTGGTGACGCCGGTGTCTGGGAATCTGTATCGTAATGATTTTGTTACCTGATAATGACGGCTCGAAACCACGAGCGTGTAGGAGTCACAACCACGATCTTTCTTTGACTGAAGTAATGAGCCGCGCCTTCATCGAAGATGTGCTTCGACTCCGAGCAACTATTTTAACTCTCAGGAGATCAAATTGCCTATGCGCTAAACTGAAGGGATTTTGAACAAGCCCGCTGTGACTTGCAGCATAGAATTCTTTAAGAGGCGTTGCGCCTTCATCGAAGGTGTAATTCGACCTCGAGCAACTATTTTAACTCTCCGGAGATCAAATTGCCTATGGGCTGAATTGAAGGGATTTTGAACGAGTCCGCCGTGACCTGAAAAATAAAATTCAATATGAGGCATTGCGCCGCGCCGGCCGTGCCGTCGCGCCTTCATCGAAGGTACGCTTCGACATCGAGCAACTATTTTAACTCTCCGGAGATCAAATTGCCTATGCGCTGAATTGAAGGAATTTTGAATGAGTCGCGTCGACCTGCAAGTTACAATATTGAATGGGTCTGTTTCACGCAAGAGATACAGCCAAATAAATGTACTCTCTATTTGTGAAATCGTGCAAAAATCACGTTGAGCACGTCGAAAAAGTCTGAAATCCACGCAAAATCCTCAATCCGTAGCGCGCAATTTGCGTAGTTTGTAACACGATTTTTGTAATTTGCCACATAATGTGGGCAGTTTTTCTTGGCGGGATGGGTCCCCAATCGACCAGTGTTCCCTCCCCACCATGTTTTATTTACAATGTTCATCACTCTCTCGGTGTGTCAGTGTGTGATTTTATGAAAATCTTCAAAATAACTGGAAAAATGTGTCGACCATGCTTTTTGTTGAACTATGTATCCAGGGCCGGATTTACCAATAGGCTACATAGGCTGTAGCCTAGGGCGCAACATTCTGAGGGGCGCATAATTTTTGAGAATTTTTTTTTTTTTTTAATTTAAAGAGTTTTTTGTTTCTTTTTGATTTCCAAAACCAACTTGCAAACGTAAACGTACCTCAAAGTTGTTTAAAATCGTGTTTTTTTAAATGTGAATTTGAACATTTTCCTGATACCTAACATTCTCCTTCTGATCTCGAGGGGAGGGGTGTCTGCCCCCCCCCCTCCCCACGAAAGCGCCTACTTTTAAGGGCGCCACCCTAAGTTTAGCCTAGGGCGCTACAAATGTAAATCCGGCCCTGTATGTATCTATTTATTTCTGATGTCAAACGAATAACAATGGTTCAGGAATTTTGAGCGTTTAACCAAGAGCCTTTGCGCCGAGATACTTTAGTATCAGTCTCTCCACCGAATTTGCAAAATAATTCAAAGTAAATCATAACTTAAATTGAAATCAGCACCTGCCAGTTTAAGAAAATCAGTCACATGGATCGAAGCGTTTTTACCAGAATTGCAGGCAATGAAAAATTATGCATTTAACATTTCTCGTGCACGATTTGTGACCTGAATAAAATCCAAAGTTCTGCATTGAGAAGCTTTCCGACACATTACGACTGGACCAAAGCCAGCTTTGAAGTTAGCAGTGGCGGTCCCAAGATAAAGGAGCTGGGCAAAATTGGAAATAGGGTGGAAATAAGAAATGATAATTTATAAAAAACTTTAAACTTTTTGCAGGACGAGAACTGAAATGATGTAGTAAGTAGAGAGGAAACAAAAGAGGAGTCCAGTTAAATGCAATCAAGTTGTAAATGAATGCATAAGCAGAACTTCTGTTATGAAAACAATCAGTAAAAGGGACTTCTCGATGAAACCAAAAATAAGTGAACCGCGTTTATCAGAAAGGAACCAAGCAACATCAGCTATTGCCAAATTTAGTTTGAAAGTTTAATTTTTTACAACCTCTACCATCCTTCTCTACATCAAGACAAACTCTTCATGCAAAGATAGGGAGCAAATACATTGACAGGACTGCCACTTTATTTGGGGACTCCAAAACTGAAAACACGGCAACCCTGCGAATGTATTTGCTCCCCATCTTTGCATGGAGAGTTTGTCTTGGTGTAGAGGTGGACTCTCAGGGTAGGGTGGGATATCCCTTCCATTTTGGCCTCAACTTGAGAGCTTTTTTTGAGGTTGGGAGTTGATTTCAGAGAAAACAAGTGGCACCATCGTGTTTCTTGCGAACTTTTACATAAGAATCAATGGTCAAATCGCAAATCCCTCACACATGCAACATCTCCATTGAACCCGGGTTCCAGTTATAGATAAAGCGATATAATCACTCCACCTCAGGAGGCCGACAATTTTATAGGAGAGTCGTTTTAAGTCCTCCTGAGACGCCGCTGAACAGCAAATAAAATTTAAAACCGCCCGAGTTTATTTTAAAAAAGTAATTACGCCACGTCTCCGCAAACTTTTGAAGTCGTATCTGAGTGCGCATCACTTATTGCTCGGGCTATTCGCATGCAGCTTTATGAGACAATTTAAAATGCTGCCGCGCTGAGGAAGAACGCTGTAT